CTACATATGACTGCTACCAACATTACACATTTATTTCACTGGCATTATTTTGGAGTTTGTAACCTATCTGTAACCAAAGCTAGACCCTTTTCCACAGTGAGTTTTTGAGCATGAATATGAAATGAGGGACCTTATGCAGGTCCTATTTATATAAATTGTATAAAATGTGAAAATAAATGTTAAGTGAGCTTCAAAATAAATGCAAGCTCTCAATACTAATATCTGAGAAAATCTCAAAAGAGAGTTATCACAAAGATTCAAAAAGTATCCATCTTTTCACCTCATATAAATATGTACTGTATTTATCTGGAATTTTGAAAACTTCAAATCAACAAGAAAGAGAAATAACATATTCATTAATTTCAAAGAAAAAGTCCTATCCAGGAACAAAGTATTAATATAAATTCATGTAATAATTTATGGTTTTTTTCCTTTTTCTTCATAGAATTAAGTGTAAACATTTGTGATGCTTTGGGTTATAACTAGTCAAAACTTTATTTGATATAATGCAGTTCCAAAGTGTAACTGCACAACCTTAAAACAGTATTTAAAATAGTCTCTGCCATTGAGAGATAGGTAAAAAAGAAGTAATGAAAAAGCCTAACTTGATATTGAAATTAATTTAAAATATGCTGTTGTTCTTGAGCTATATAGTCCTGTATGAATTTACTAAGAAAGACCTAGCCATTACCAAGACCACTGCTAAACACAATGAGAATTTAACCATACATACGGTTTATTCTGTTAGTCCAACCATTTCCAAGTGACTCAGAAGTGACACAAGGATCACGGAGAATCTGGCACTTAGAAAAACAAAACAAAAAACCAAAACCCAACTAGAAAAAAAAACCAAAAACAAACAAAAAAAACCACAAACAAAACCCCAAACCCAAAACACAAACAAAAAACCAAACCAAACCAAAACCAAACAAAAACCCCAAACAAACAACAACAACAAAAAACCAACCAACCAAACAAACAAAAAGAACAAAAAGCAAACAAACCAAACTGAAACAGTCTCAACCCAAACAAGCAGGATACTTGTGCTATGTCCTCTAAGAAGCAAATGGATGAGTGAATGACATAACACAGTGAGAAAACAGACTGTATTATTTTTGGATGCAGCAGTTAAATATGGACAAGGAATACTGGTGAAAACTGAGGCTGGTTCCATTAGTAAAAAAAATATTCTGAAGTCGCAAACATTAGATATTTTCCCAGTACAGTAAGGCCCTCAATAGTGTCTACTTTAATTGGAAGCACAATGAAATTTGAGACGCAAATCATCTGTTATTTTATATTTTTCCCATGTCTAGCATTGCACTGCTCCATTTTTGATTTGGTACTCTACTGAACAAAATGACCTTTAGTAATGAAACGGTTAAAAAAATAGGTTACTTTCTAGATATACCACCACAAAGTTGCCAGAAGCCCAAGTATGTACCTGACTTTTGATACCTGAATCTCTAAAGCACATACAGCTAGAGAACAAATACCTATAGCATAACTGAAACATCCAGTCAGAATTTTCTAGTTCTACTTGCAGAAACTGTAAATAAATTTGCTATATTTTTCAGAAACGTTGTTCAGGGATACAGAAAAACAACTTTCTCAAACTGACTTTTTATTTTGTAAAGCTCACAGCTTTCATCTATCAGAGAAATATTAAAACTGAAAAAAACCCCCAACCTTACAGGTTAAGATACAAAGGTATATTCAGAAGAATTTTCAAAATAAGCAAAACAAAAACACTTCAGAACACTCTGGGCATCATGAAAGTTTACAGAAATTCAAGTTTATTTCCTTCCTCTAACCAGGCTGATCTGAAGCAGCTTTTCTCCTGTTTCCTTGCTCTAATCTGAACGTTTAATNCAACGGTGGACAAGAACCTCTTGCTTCAAATTAAGAGGTATTTATGTTTTGAACTGCAGTTTATAAAGGAAAGTAATTAAGTTGGTGGGGATAGGACGCTATCGCCCAAAAGGGAGCTGAGGGACGCCTCAGCATTAGCCCTAAAAACTGGGTTAGAGTCCCAGGTATTGAAAGTTGCAGGTTAGAGTCCTGCACAGATAGCAGGTTAGAGTCCTGCACAGATAGCAGGTTAGAGTCCTGCCAAGAAAGGGTTAGAGTCCCTAAACGGGTTAGAGTCCCGACACTGCAGTGTAAAATTGTCTTTTCTTTGTAATGCTGTGTTCACCCTTTATGTTTCTGTGTCCTGTTTGCAAATGTTCTTGCTCTAATTTACCCTGATCATTCTTTGTTTGTTTGTTTGTTTTGTGTAAGATATTGTCTGGTAATGCATTGGAAACTGTGCTCGACTCAGAAAGTTAACCATTTTTAATTCTTCCGAGGCTGCTTGAGAGTTTCTAGGAGCTTTAGGACCCAGAAAAGCTCCTTGTACTAGCAAAGAATTCTTGGAATGCGGTTTCTCTTGCAAACTGTTCTGGTTTTTGTTAATGAGTAAAACGAAACTAAAATAAGCTATTTCGGTACCGAAAGAGTCTCATTTACGGTTTTCATTGTTTGCAGCTGTTTGTTTGTCTATTGAAAAATTAGATGTTGTGTTTTCATATACAGTATAGTCCTTGAGACGTCTTTTTAACTCTATATGGGAAATGATTGCAATCTCAGTTCTATAAAAGTGAACAAGCTTTTGCCGGCACGTATAAATCCTAGGATTAAAATCTGTCCTTTCTGTTATTGTTCACTGTATGTTAGAGCTTTGTGTAACAATTGTGGTAAATATATTTTGGGTCCAAGAGGAACACAAGAAATAGCGCTCAATCGTACCCTTACCTTCCACTGTATACGCTGTTGGTCAAATCAAGATTTGGCAGAAACTAAGTGGGTGAGATTTTATTGCTGCCACACTCATAGACAGGTATTTGTAACATCTTGGTTGCATTTTCTGTAAGAAGTGTGTTTTATAGTTTGCAGCAACACCCTGTGAGTTTGTGGTAACATAGATTGGACAGCCGACAGCAAAGCCATATTTCACGGTCTGCGGCGCCGTTTTGCAACCTTGCTTGGTAACGCAGACTGCTCAGATAGAAACCAGAAGGTAGGAAAGTTCTCCTATATCAAGTGTGTAAGTGTGTGTGCGAGTGTGATTGAGACGCGGCTCTGCTGCGGAGCGAGTGGGGAGTCCTGCTCTGCGGTTCCTGTTCTCCGCGAGGAGCCAGGCCAGAAACGGACGAAGCGACTGGAAATTGCGTACATGAAGTGTTGGGACAAAGTAAGAAATACCGTGAGACAGTGAAATAAATTAAGAAAAGTGTAAGCTTGCTATAATAATGTAAAAAAAATTTATCGGACAATCAATTTAGAGAAGAGACGAACTAGAGTACAACCCCTAGTGATTTAGAATATTTGCAACTGGAAACTAGTTCAGGAACACGACTCCTGGATCAGCTGGTATATTACTGATGCTCAAATAATTGAAAGGTCCAGGGAGAATCTGTCCTTGAAAGATTAACATTTGTCAGCAGTAACTAGTACATTATAGATAGATATTTTGTGTATGACGCAGTGGGACAGATTGAAAAAAAAAAAAAAAAAAAAAAAAAAAAAAAAAAAAAAAAAAAAAAAAAAAAAAAAAAAAAAAAAAAAAAAAAAAAAAAAAAAAAAAAAAAAAAAAAAAAAAAAAAATCCCAGATAAGTGTATAATTAGGCCTCTATAATAATAATGAGAGGCCAGCAAGGTAAAGAAAGCAGCCTACTGGAATCAGGAAGGGAAGAGAAAGAGAGCACCTCGCAGAAGTCAGAAAGGGACGAAAAGGAAAGTAGTTTGCCAGAATCAGAAAGAAATAGAATAGAAAGTAGCCTGCAAAAGTTAGAAAGAGATAAGGAAGAAAGTAACCCTCAGAAACCAGGAAGAGATGAAAGAAAAGAAGACAGAAAGCATAAAGATAGAATAGATACCGAAAGTTTAGAGAACGATCAGGAGGAAGGGATTGGCTATTCATATTATACTAGGACTGCTGAATGGAAAACCAAAGACGAGGAGGGAGAGAAAGCAAAAATAATTAACTGGGCAGCTCTTTATAATGTTAGACAAGGGCAAGATGAGATGCCTTCTGAATTCTTAGACAGACTTAGAGCTGCCATGAGAAAATATATACCCTTAGATCCTGCATCAAAAGCAGGCAAACAACAATTACTAGCGTTATTGATGATATTAGAAAGAAGCTGCAAAAGTCCAGCATCCTGCAGATGAAAATTCAGAGATAGTAATGAATGAAGCTTAGAAAGTTACAACAATAGAAAAAAGGAAGAGAAAAAGAGAGAAGATAAAAGAGTTGCTCGGATCGTAGCAATAGCAGTGGCAGCCCAAAACACAAAATTCCCAGACACAAATGTTAGGGGTAGGGGTCGTGGTTGCCCTATGAGAAGGAGGAGAAGATTCAGACCCCAACCCATCAGGGTAAGACCAGATCAATGTTCCAATTGCTTTCAGTTAGGCCATTGGAGACGAGACTGCCCCCAGCTCGGAGAAAGGCTTGCAAACACTGCTGTTGCACATCGGAGCAGTGACTGAAGGGGACCGGTGAGTCGTTCCCTAGCAGACCCACTGGTTAAAATGGAGCTAGGGGAAGGTGAAAAAGAATTAGATTTTCTGATAGACACAGGGGCAACATTTTCGGTTTTAAATCAAGAATTGGTACCCAAAAGCGATGAATTTGTACAAGTTGTGGGAGCAACAGGCCAACCAGAAAAAGCTTATTTCCTAAAACCTATTAAATACAAAATTGGAAAACAAATGGGGATCCATCAGTTTCTGTACTTACCAAATTCTCCAAAACCTCTACTGGGTAGAGATTTATTGGAAAATTTAGGAGCTGTAATAAAATTCAACAAAGACAAACTGGAATTCCAGGTAAATGAAGAACAACTGATTACAGCCTTAAGCTTGACGATCAGTTACATAGAGCCGAAACCTGAAAGTCGGAGTATTGAACAGATTATGAGTGAGGCATACCCGTTGGTATGGGCTACTGATGTACCTGGGAAATCAAGACAGGCAACACCTATTGTTATCGAACTTATACCTGGAGCAAGACCAGTAGTAAGGAAGCAGTATCCCCTGAGATTAGAAGACAGGAAAGGGGTCGAACCCATAATTGAGAA